CCCCCCGCTGAGCTCTTAACGTCCCTTTCAGCTCACACATTCTGTGATTTTAAAATTGACACTTTCAGGTGGTGTCCATGTAAAAACTGTGATGAGGAGGAAAAAAAGTGAAGAGAAAATGAAGAGCTGGTTGCTTTATTTACCTTTCTTTCAATGACAGTAGAACTAACATTCACGAAACACTCTGTGTTGTCATATACAAAGTGCTCTGTATTTGTCAGCTCATTTAATTCTCTTAAGGCCATGATGGTAAGTAGGCATTATTCCAAGATTAATAATGCATCTGTTGAAATGAATTGTCTTACCTTAAACTAGGTATCTAGTAACTGCCAAGGTTTTAGGACCTGGTCAAAATCATAAATTATTTTCTTTTCTCTGTTAGCTTATTTAATTGATTCTCCACCACCCCCATCCCCCACAGTAAACAGTGACATGAAAGTTTCAAAATATCAAGAGAAGAGATCAGTTAAGAATTTTTTTCCACTTATCCACTTTATTGTCTACCTAAGATAATGCTAAGTCACACATGTTGCACACACTGGTTTCACTCGGTCCCAGTAAGATTTCTTCTGTTCTTGTTTTTTTTCCCCCTACTTTTTTGGGGATGGATGCCAGACACAGAAGGTTTTGTGTGCAGCCCACATCCCAATTCTTTGGGCACACCCAAATTATTACTTCAAAGGGACAGAAATAGCGGCAGAAATAGCCAATTACAATTCCAGTGCTTCACTCCAGGCATGCTCAGTGGGCCTAAGACCTATTCTAGTCTCCAAAACAACAGCAAAACAAGAGGAATGATAACTTCTGGACAATAAAACTCTCATAGGAATTTTGTAAACATTATATGTGCTATTTGAGATGCTGTAATTCATCTTCTCAGGGAAAGGGTACTCAGATATTACTGTGGCTTGTGGGATAGTCAAAGCTGTATAATTTCTTCTTTAAGAAAGAGAGGAGAAAATAATTATTTATATTTTTATGTTTTATATCTTCTTAAGCCAAGTAACTCCCCCTAAAACATGTATATATTTGCTTCTCAAAGAATTGATGGGCAAAGTAAATTGTTTTTATTTACATGAAATGCTCAGTTGATTTTCCATTGGGGGTGGACCCTCAAATGAGAAAAGGTTCCCCAAGTACAAATTTCACTGTACAGGTGACAGGGACTTTAAAGGTGCCTTCAGCACTGAAAAAGTGCTACACGTTCTATGTAGCTTGTTTCCTTGTGCAGATTTTGAAGTCTGATAGCTAGCATTTGACTTTTACCATCGCTGTGGCTCCACAGAACAAAAGGAAAAGTAAATGTCGACAACTGAAAAACTAAAATCAGTCAGATGAACTAATTAATTGCCTTTGGTTGGCTGTTTTGACAACAGGTGTAAGTCAAACTTTAATGTTTAACTGTTGTTATGCATTTATTAAAGGCTGTAATTCACTTACAATGTGGCATGTATGTGCCTTTTGTTAATATTGGCTTTCAATTTTTGCTATTCTGATTTCTTGCATTGTCACTAGCAGGGAATTGTCCTTTGCAGAGACTGAGACATGCTTCCCTTCAATTACAGCCATTGGCTGTTCGATTTTTAGGCTTAGCAATTATGTTTCTGCTCAGCAGGGCTTGAGGAAGAAGAAATCTTTTAATAGAAAATACCTTTGGACTAAATTTACACTATAAAGATTTATACTATGTAATTTATTCTATATAATTTAGCATATAAATTTTATGCTAGACAAATAACATATCTAAACATCTTAGTTAGACAAAAGTTTGGTGTGAAAGATGTCTTTAAATGTGGGGCCAATGAAGTAGATACAAAATGAACCATCTGGCTTAGTTACTCCTAAGAGATAAACTTGACCATGAGCTTCTTGGCAAGGTAAAGGTAGGCACTGATGATCTCAGGAAAAGCCACTCTTATTTTTGTTACAGCCTACAGTTATGCTTCTTTCACTGTCTTGTAATGCCAGATGTAGGTTTAATCAGTGTTTTCTAGAAATCTCTAAATCTGGCTTTGAATAGTTCTTTGTTTTCTGTTTCACAAATAGAGCTCTCCTAACAAAAAGCAGACTCAAAGTTTTTTTCCTAAGTTATATATTAGCCAGTTCTAGTCATAATCAACCTTTCTTGATGACTTACTTCAGTAAAATAATTTTTTTCAGAGGAGAAGGGCTTTTTGGAAGTGAAATATCTGAAATAAATAAACACACACATATTTATATTTCACTTTTATAAAAAGTCATTTTTAGCCTAGAAATGCCCTAGATTCATCCCTATAACTGTATTATCTCGGTTAGTTTTACAAAAGAGGACGACATCTCAGTATTGTTCTTTGGTGTTTCTATAGTTCTTTTCATTCAGAATGTTTTCAATGCAACCTTTTAATTAGCTTTGTTAGCTTTAATATTTACAGAACATCTACCGTGGCCTTTTCTCTGGCTATACCCAGAATATTTGTTAAATAGCCATGTGTAACACAAATGTAGCTGAGGAGACAATCTGTTCTCTTATCCTCCCTCATGGTTTGGAGAATTTCTTAATACAATTACCTGTCTCTGTAATAAGTGTATAATGAACCTGGTCATAGCTTTTCATTTTGCATTAATAATAATCCCATGCAAAATTTATTTTTATCATCATTGTGATGCAATTTGAATAAACTATTTAGTTGGTAAAATCTGGGCTCTTGTTTGGTAAAAATTTCACATGGATGGACATTTTTGTTATTTAGAGAGACTGTCTTTGTAGTCATAAAGCATGGGTTTCCACTGATTTTCAAATGCGTAGTTTAAATTGTAGAATTTAGAGACTCATAGGAAAACAGTGGCACAGTGTCAAAAGGGCAGGTGGGGGTGTGGACGTAGGCTCTCCACCGTCACTGTCAGTGTCTTTCATTTTCTGTTATGAATTCTTATCTAAAGAACAATCTATGAGATTGTAGATAAAGAGTCTCCTCACAATGTGACTTGGTTAATATCAAACTCCAAAGATGGTAGAGCAATATTCTGAATGCTAAATCATTCAAGGAAAATCCTCCCCTTCAGTTTCCATTGCGTTGTAGAAATGGTCTTTCCTGAATTCATGAAACACTGCCAGTGAGAGGGATGGTGAGGAAATGAACAGTGATGCTATTTTGGTTTAAATGGGCTTTCATGCTGCCTAATTTCCTTCCAGTGGATGGATCCAATCCCTTTTGAGTGAATTAGTCAGGTGATCCAATCAAAGAGCCGACCTTATTGGTTCTCCTCCCCAGATTGGCTGATGTCAAACCATAACAGTCTGCAAGATGTTCAACAGCCTCACTGGGAAAGAATACTTTCCCAGAGGGAGTTGGTACTTGATGATTCTGCTTTTGTTTGGTAGAATTCTAAAATTTATGGCAAAGTTGGAGTTATTTTCCTGTTGATAAGAAGACTCTGAAGTGGTAGAATTATATAAGAAAAACATTAATTTTGTTTCAGGAGACTCTTGCTCTAACATCTTTTTAACAGTCACTAATAGTTTCTAAATTTAAAATGCTCTGGTCTTATTTCACAGAAAATTTACAGAGAAGATTTTGAGAAGGAGATTAAAGGAAGGTCATCACTGGATTTAGACAAGACTCCAGAATTTTTACACGTAAAGTACATCACCAGCCTTCTGAAGGAGGTATGCTGCTGCTGTGTACCATTAAACATTGCACAAGAAAACTAAAAACTGCAGAAATAACCTTGGAGATACTTACTTAACAATTCTCTACTAACTCAGTGAGTTACAGATATAAATCTATTCCTCTTTCCCTCACTTTGACCTTTAGTAATAGAGTTTTTTATTTTCGTATTAGAACCAGCTTTTTCTGTAACTTTCCTGCAGCATTCTTAATGACATTTGACACCAGAAATGAGGTGCTCACGTGCAAAGGTCTGGATAAATGGTACATTATTTATAAGTGGTTTGTGTTCCAAGTAGGGGAAAAAATGATATATTTAGCATATAGAACACAGGAACTCATGTCCATTTTTTATTTTATTCTCAGCATGATTTTCCCCACAAATGTAGTGGTGCATTTGGCTCACAACTAGTGTATTAAAATTTTTTTTAATTTTTAATTTATTTTTATTTTTTATTGTTAGTTTCAGGTGTACAGAACAATGCAATAGTTACCCTTTTCACCCTCACAAAGTAACAACCCCCCTCCCCCCATGTATTGCCCTCCTGTATTAAATTTTTGAACATTAAGGTCCTCAAATCTAACAATTAACAATACCATGCTCATAGTTCATCCCTTTAAAATTTTTGTCTTTGGTTTTTTTTTTTTTCCTTTTAAATGACTGCAAAGTAATTAGGAGCTCTTCCAACTCTCTGTTTAAATAGATTCTCGTTACATTAAGGGAAAGTGTCAGAGAACTCCATTTCATCCTAAATTTTGAACTGAAAAAATTATTCCTGAAAGACATGTCTTAAACCAGTGAAATAAATGAATATAATTACCCACATAGACACACATCACCATGAATTTCTTAAAAAGCAAGTGCCAACTGGCCTTTACCATTGAATTGCTTTTATACGTTCAACATGATTCATTGTAATATATGTTGGGCTGAAGTAGGCACATAATTTATGGAAGAGTGCTCTTGCTACCTTATCTTTTCTCGCTTCTCATTCCTATAAAATATTTTGAAGTTGAAGGATAATCAAATGGCAACTTCCTGGTATTAATTGTCTTCCATTTAAAAAATATGCAGCATTTATGTGAATTTTTAAAGGGAGAATCTTTTTATCATTTACATACAAATGACAATGTGAGCTCTATTTTGAGGTCCATAAATGGTTAATACAATACCATTGCCTTTTTCTTTTACTCTTTCTTTTTGAGTGAATCTTTTTTTAGATTTTCAGCATGTATACCTCAAGATAGAAAAAAAGGCCCAGAGAGTATGATTAAAAATCTTTGAATTAAGTAATAGCGATGTCTAATTTTATTTTTTTATTTTTTATTTATTTTTTATTTTTATTTTTTTATTATTGTTAGTTTCAGGTGTACAGAACAATGCAGTAGTTACCCTTTTCACCCTCACAAAGTAACAACCCCCCTCCCCCCATCCACTGCCCTCCCACCCCCGATATCATGCTTATCTATTACAATTCCATTGAATCCGTTCCCGCACTCTACTCCATGTCCCGAGGTTATATGTATATATAATTATAGTTGACATACAGTATTATTCAACATCAGTTTCAGAAGCGATGTCTAATTTTAAAAAGGGGTTCTTAATGACTTAATGAAATGGTAACTTTTCTTTCTAAGTGTAAGCCTTTAGCTTTAAATTGTCTTTCCATTTTTTACTTTATTATATAGGTTTTTATATTTAGGTTGTCATTAGAGTGTTCAAAGTATCATTTTATACTGCATTTCGCTTGATTCCCCCTATTTCCCTTTAACATTGGTAGAACAAGTGTTTTTATTTTCCTTTTGCCCTTGTAGAAATCAAGGCTCAGTTACTTCAAGTGCTCTTGAATGTCACATGACCATATAATTGGAAGAACTCTGACTTTCCTTCAGGTCATTTGATACACGAGATCTTTCCAAAATTACTTGCAGGTCATTACAATGTCTTATAGGATATTACTTAAGCGGAGGACCGGCTAATTTAATTATACTGGCCAAAGAGAAAATAACATGAAATGAGCCCTAGAATTAACTGGAACATGATTTCTTATCATTAAAGGAAGTCTCATTTTTCATCTGGCAAGTTAGTCATAAATGCAACTTAGTTGAATTGGATTAAGAGATATTTATTGTTTTCAGAATGCAATTAGAAAGAAAACAAGAAATTCATTAACACAGGAAAAAAACCCAAGTTATATATGTTTTAAAGACATTTGGATCTACTTAAAATATAATATTAAAAATAGGTGAAATTCAAACTATGTATTATCAATCTGTAGGAAATTATTTGGCTCTATGAATCTTTGAATAAAATGGTAACTTTTAAAAATCTTGGTTACATCAATCCGTTTGATTTTGTAATTTTCCATTCTTTTTCAACTGTGTTTTTTTAGTGATTCATATTTTATAGACAGTTTTCAAAGAAATACTTCAAATAGTTAACAAGAAGCATGTATTCCTAAGATCTTTCTTACCATTTAAAAGGAATACATCTTTTTAAAATATGGCACTGATATGATATGAAAATATGTAGGAAGAAAGGATGAAAGGGAAAAAAAGACATAATATTGGAAGCCACTGTAAACATGATTAAAAGAGAAAATTTTCGGTAGGAAATAAAGAGCATGAATGCTCAGGAGTCTGGTTCATACCTTTCTAGAAATAGTTCCTCCTTTCTGTGGCCTCTAGAAAGTGTCTAAAACAGTATATAAGATCAAGAGCCTCCCAGTAAATTTCAAACTAATGTTTTTGTCTCATAGAAGGAATATAAAAAAGATTTGGAAAATGAAATAAAAGGGAAAGGAATGGAACTTAATCCAGACGTTCTTGATATTCAAAGAGCAAAACGAGCATCTGAAATGGCTAGTGAGGTGAGTATTTTAGGCCAACTATGGTGTTAAGGGTACGTACTCTCTAATAAAGGTTGTATCCTGTGTCTAAAAGCTTGTCCCCTTTTAGAGTATTCTTTAATCTTACATTAAAACTGTTAATTTTTTAGGTAGAGTTTAAATTTGAACTGACATTCTATCATGGGCAACCCGCTATCACCAGGCCTGGTACTTATTTAAAACTGAGAATGTACGAATTTTCAGCTGATTTCCTTATCTATAAATCTCTCTCAAAGATTATGTATATATTCCACATCTTTTATGTGTAAGATGATTATATGCAGCTATGTCCTAGTAGCCTTTCCCCAATCAATCGATTAAAGAAAGATGCTCACCACCTCCTTTCTATGTGGTGTGAGAATAATGATTATTTCCTCACATTAGAGAAAAATCTATATTATGAACCAAAATAGATTTATGCAATTTAATTTGATATTTTAAGCCAGGAAAAGGCAGAATAGGAAGTTTGTTCTTGTCTATTGCTAACAGCAGTTTAAAAGTTCACATGCTCACAACCCAACCGACTCTGCCAGTCCTTGCCTAGTCTGCTGAATGAGTTGAGTTAAACCTCTTTATAAAATGGAAGTGACCATTGCTCACTTTACATAAAATTTATAAGAAGGAGTGAAGTGCCTCTGAAGTGCTTTGAGTCCTTTATGTCATTATCTTGTCACATTATTATGTGCTATGTCATTATTTTGTTATCAGCTAATGGCACAGTGCTTTGAGGAGAATCTAGCTGAATTTAGCAGTGAAAAAATTCAATACTTTATACCAATATGTTAATAAACTGTGGTGATGATGATGATGACCCTACTAGTCATGTTGCAAATGATAGAAACCCAACTCAAGCTGGGGTAAGCCACAAAGGAAGTGTTTTGACTTATGACTAGAGAAGTACAAAGATCAAGTGTCCTTCAGGTTGGAATTCAAATGATGTCTCTCTCCTTTCATTTCTCAGTTTTGTTATCTTCTCTGTCTTCACTCTTGGGAGCTGTCTGTATTTGATGGCACCTCTTACTGTCAAGATAAGTCCTATCTGTGGCCAGTCACCCTGGTGGGAAGTGAACATCTGTTTTCTTATAGTTACAGTTCATATCCAGGAACGGAAGGTCATTGTGAATCATCTTCTGTCCTGTGCCCACACTTGACCCAATCACTGCTAGGGGTCAGGGGAGTGTAATGCGCTAATGACCTAGGATGGTTCTCATGGTCACCCATCTGTTTAGTTAACTTCCTAGGTAGTTTAACAATGTTTTAAATATGAAATATTTTCAATTGTTACGTGTTTTTAAAAAATGTACATCCGTCTTTGACCATATTCATGTTCATTAAATACATTTAAAAAACATTAACATTATTTTAGTGGAATTAAAAATACATGAGGGGAGTAGGGAAATCAATCCATCCAAAGTGTATGGATTGAGAGGGGCTAGTGGTAGTTCCTGAATAGAAAATTGTGGAACTTTTTGCCAAAAGAAGGAGAAATGGATGCAGGTCAGGCAAAAAACAATAGATGTCCACTATGATGTCTTCGGCTAATATTGTTATTAAGTATCCCTACATTATTAGGGATATTACATATCCCTTATATTGTTATTATATATCCTTACATTTGTAATATTTTTTTTCACAAATTCTTCTGTTACGGTGACATGTCCAGTCTACATTTAGAGGTGGATCTTGTCAGTAATACTGGGAAATATTGTTTTAAACTCTCAATGGCAGAGTCTAGGCAGATGCAGTTGAATGGTAAGATGGTGGCAGAAGCAGCAGTAAATCAGGTCTTACTGTACAGGTACAGGAGTAAAAGACCAGAAGAAGCTATCAATTATTGAGCGCCTACTGTGTGCAGGGGCACTAGGCTATATGCTGTCTCATCGACCTCACAGTGATCCTGCGTGAGGAATGATTATCCCCATTGTGCAGAGGAGTAAACCAGAAACGCTAAGAAACGTTCCCAGCATCACACAGCTAGCTATTAAGTGCTTTGTCCTTAGAGCCGGTTCTTCTTTCTACAACATCCACTCATTTAAAGCTGCCTCCCTATCTTCCAGACTCCTAAGACAATTGTCAGTGAGAATTCTCACCTGGCAATTGCCTTTTTGTAGTAAAAATCTCCACAGCTTTATATACCCTTCAGTGAGAATAGTGATTATAGTCCTAAGCAGTTCAGAAAATGTACTTCTAGGTGAGTACTCATAGTACAGAGTAAGCTGTGTTTTCTCCTTCTTCTTCTTCCTCTCCTTCTCATTCTCCTTCTTGTTACCCTTCCCTTTCTCCTCCCCCTCCCCCTTAATAAATATATTGAGCCATTTTTGGTATTATTGAATACGGTTATGTGTTTGTCCTCCAAGTGTCTGAATGTTGTAAAAATGTTGCTTTTTTACAGAAAGAATACAAGAAAGACCTGGAGTCAAAAATTAAAGGGAAAGGAATGCAAGTTGGCACTGACACCCTTGAAATACAACATGCCAAAAAAGCTTCAGAGATAGCTAGTGAGGTTAGTACAGCGGACCTTGAAACTCATATTTTGGAACTTAACCAATCATATTAACAACTTGATTAGTACATGGAATTTTCCAGAGCTTTCTGTGACTAGTTTAACAGTTTGGAATGGAAACTATTCCAAATCGTCATGCTTATTTGAAAATTTACAGTTTCTGCTTTGCTCATTTCCTTTAAATATATCAAAGAAAACTTGGGGAAAGGAATTTTAATAGAACACACACACACACACACACACACACACACACATACACATCTTATTCCATAATACAACAAATTTCACGTTAATTTTTGTAATGTGAAATTTTGTAATTTTGTTAATCTGGGTTACGATAAATGTTTTCATACTATTTTTCTTTAAGGATCATGTGCTATTTAATATATTCGTGTTTCTGACTTTCTGAACAGAACTTGAAAATCATGTATTAAGACTCCAACCTGACATTGATAGCCATTTCTGTGTGATCTGATTGCATGTTCTCAAAATATCCTCTGTTGACCTCATCACCGTGCCTGAAATTTCTAGAGTCAGCATTTCGGGTTGAGATATTATGACCATGTTCATTCATCTAACATCATTTCCTCTTTGTATCATACATGCAACAACAGGATGTTAATTTAGAAATTTTGGCTTAGATGCTATGATATCATAGTTATCAGAAAACAGAGTTGTCAGAGTCAGAACGTTATGTGTATTTTTCAAAGGAAATATCCCAGAATCGGTTCCATACTTCTTGAATTCCCTCTATAAGTTTAAGACTATAAAGGGGTCAGTGGAGCAGAAAGTATTTGGAAAGAGAAGACTTTGTAAGAAACACATGTAAGGAGAAATTTGGGGGTGCAGGTGAAGGGGTACGACTTCCTTACCTCGAGGCTGACTGAGGGGAGGTACAGTGGGACCACTCTGAGAGCTTTAACATGACATTTGCAGTTAGGAAGAGCTGGCTCAGGATTAACTCCCACCTGGATGCCTGCAGGGTGGAGGTAGCAGACTAACTGCCAAGGGAGTTACTGCTGTGTTGGGATCTGCCTACATCCCCAGGGTTAGGTACTGGCCAGGGGGATGGGATGGCCTTAAATAGTTCAGATAAAGAAACTGGGATGACAGAACTCTTGACCAATAGGGGTTCCATTTAGAAATGGTAGGGGAGGGGGATGGTACATGCTGAACAAGTGTTTAAAAAAACGTCCTTTCACCTGCCCCTAATTCTAAAGATAGCCATTGTTCTAAAATTGTTGTAGAGCCTCCCAGATCTATATTTATGTATATAGAGATAAACATACATTTGTGCACACACAGACTTAAAAAACTAAAATACCATGAACTTTGTTCTGTGCTTGCTTTCCTCACTATATATTACAGACCCTTTTCCATGTCACTTCATATAGTTCTATCTCATTCTTACAGAAAAATTAAGTGTTCTTAATTTGGATGTGAATATGCAACCATTTATCTTTTGATGCCTCATAGGCGTCACCCCATGTAAATGACATACACTATAACAGGGACTCAGCATCACATGCTCAAGCCACAACCCTTAGTTTTTCCTCAGATCGGCTTCCCTCTCCCACCCCCTTCTTAGCAAATGGCAGCAGTGAAATCTCAGATCTCACTCTGATTCCTCTTGTCAAAAGTTTAATTAACTCCACGTCCATAATGGTTTCCTAAATCCATCTCCTTCTCCCTTTCCTAGTCCAAGCTACCATCTCTATCACCTGGATCATTACAGTAGCTTCCTAACCAGAATTCTGCTTCTGTTATTGTCCTCTTAATAGCCAACCTCTGCCCAGCAGCCAGAGCAACCCTTGAAGAATTAAATTGTGTTACTCCCCTACCTTAAAGCTCCCGAGTGGTTTCCAGTCATGTCCAGCGCAAACGCCGGATTCCTTGCTCTGGCGCTCAGAGCCCCCATCCCGCTCATCTTCTTCCCTTGTTTATGGTGCTCCAGCCTCACAGGCTTCCAGTCTGCACCCCCCACAGGTTTTAGGGTCTCTGTACAGCTCTGCTGTCTCCCTGAAAACCCTTCCCCTAGTCTTTGCATGGTTGGTTCTTTCTTGCACTATTTCTTGTCATCCATGTTGTAGATTTAATAGTACTTTTTTATGGTGGTCTCCTGTGACTTCCGAGTAACTACTCAAATCAGTAACTATCAAATCGCTACTCATAATTCTCTAAAATTTTTGTTATTATGAGGAGAGGTGACATCCAGGGTTAGTTCAAGGTACTGAATTGGAGTATGGGGGTGGGGGTGGGGAATTTGAGGTGGGAGAAGAGTTTTCAAAATCATCTTCATGGGACTGAGAGTTGAAGCCAAAAGAAAGCATCCTTTTGCTGGAGAACAGAAAGTGGAAAGGACAGCAATATTATTTTGTATTTCACACTTTTACCTAAGAACAGGCTTCTGCGAAATATTACTTTTATGGAAAGTCCTGTCTTTCCTTAGTATGGTGACAGATTAATTTATTCAGTGATATACTGGTTTAGATTTCTCTGTGTACCTTGGGACTATATACTAGGAAAATGATGCAAACATAGTTATTGAGAACCTAATAAAAACAGGCTTACAGGAGTCAGCTGGACTATGGTTATGTGCAGCCCAAAACAACATTGGTGATACTATTATCTTTGTAATCCAAAGGTCTCATTAGCATATAATCATAATCGTGTCCCATTTTGCCCAAAACACAGGCTCTCAACTCCTTTTCAACTAGAGTTTGGGACTTTGCCATAGTACAAAGTTTATTTTTATAAGTAAAGTCAATGTGGTATATTATTACATGAATGATTCCCAAGTCAAACCTTCTAGTATCTATGGGCGTGGCCATGTGATTTTCTTTAGCCAATGAGACATTAGCAAACATGACTCAGGCAGAGGCTCTAAAAGGAAGTGTGCATTGGGGCTTGGCTCCTGAAACGTAGATGTTATCATGTTGTTTTAAGCCTTCCAAGTTTTGGGGTGTTTTAGTATATATCAACAATAACTGATACAACTGGTGTCCTCCGTAGTCTATTTATGGGCCTTCGAACGCTTTTCAATTTGAAAGTTCACATTGGAAAATTAAATGACGTACTTGCTACTGTGAGACTTGGGTGGCTGTCTATGATTAGTGCCTCAGTTCCTACATATATTTTCCTTCAAATGAAGTGTTTTGTTTTGGGGCCTTAACAGGCTTACTAAAATCTTGAAGCTTTTGACAGACATAGTAATAATTGAATGTTATTCTTTAGAAAGTTAAATATTATTATTACCAGAATTTTTATTCAAAAAAAGTGAAACTGAGAATCTAGGTCAGTGAAAAGAGGCAGATTTATGAGCAGAAACTAGGGGAAAATATATTTCTCTGAAAAGGAGATTTTTAGTTATAACTATTCTCTATATTTAGAACATCACCAATAAGCAAGACAACATTTACTTTAAAAGAGGTGATCTACAAATCTAGAGTATGTCAACACAATGAAATGTAATCAGATATTATCAGTAGTTTTTTTCTTTTAATAACCTTTTCATGGAAGAATAACATGCATCCAGAAAATTGTACAATTATAAGTGTACAGCTTACCGAATTTTATAATTCATGGTTGTAAAACGAGACAAGATTCTCTTTAAGACATTTGCATCTGTGTGATTTTGACATTTTGTAAGTAACAGATAATCCCACTCAAGCTGGTTCACAAAAGCAGATAATTTATTGCTCTTCTACCAAACTGCAGAGGAATCCTTCCCTGTGGCTTGTTCTAAGTAAGACTCAAAACAGTGAAGCTCATTTTCAGCTTCTATCTTTCAGTTCTTAGGCAGGCTTTCTTCTCCTGTTTGCAAAAAGGCATCTAATAGCTCCTGGGGCTGCTTCTCTCTCCATCCATTCCCAGAAGGAAAAGAAAATCTCTTGGTATCTTGTGTGATACAAAACCAAGATACAAAAGCATCTATTCCTGAGCCAATAACGAAGGGCCAGGGATGGGGTGTGATGATTGAATTAAGTCTATCAGTGCCCACAGACCTGGGCGGTCTCACCCAAACTAAGTGGTTTAGAATGGGGGAGCAGTGGGAAGTTGGGGAGCTGATGAAGGGAAAAGAGGGGCCGGAATCCAGGAAAGCAGTCAGCAATTATTCACTACAAAGTGAAAGTCGACAATTTTATAATCCCTTTTTATTGATATTCATCAACTGAGTTATATATTAACCTAACATTTATCAATTTTATCATATCGAAATATAAAAATTTCCTCTGGGCCAACTCTGTTTTCTTTCTTAATTCAAATTAGTAGGAAAAAAAAACCACTTGTAAATAAGTCATTCCAAGTCATGTTTCTACCACAAGTTAAAACTTTATAGTTTTATGGAAATAAAAGAATAAATAAATAAAATAAAGGTCCAGCTCAGCTCCAAAAGTCCTGATCCTGATGTTGAAATGACATCAAGGTTTTCAAATTACTTTAGAACCCTCATTGCATGTTTTCTTTTCTACAGAAAGACTATAAGAGAGACCTGGAGACTGAAATTAAAGGGAAGGGCATGCAGGTGGGCACAGACACTCTTGATATCCAGAGAGCTAAGAAAGCATCGGAAATGGCCAGCCAGGTAAGAAACGAATGACACACGAAGTTTAAAACAAACACATTGAATTGTATATAGAAAGCGTATCAATGGTATTTCCACATGTGTGGCTTTGAGATTCAAACACACAAATACCTACATTGCTATGGGAGGTTACGCAAAGCTCTGAAGATCATTTTCTGTTCTTTTAGAAAGAATATAAGAAAGACTTAGAAACTGAAATCAAAGGGAAAGGAATGCAAGTGAGCATGGACATTCCCGATATGCTTCGAGCCAAGAGGGCGTCTGAAATTTATAGCCAGGTTGGTAGAAAATGAAGATGCTCAGAAGGATGTATTCTGCTCCCCAGTCACCAGGTGTTTTGTGCATTTCTAGGATTGATACCTTTTTGAGTGCACTATACTCAACGTCAGTGCACTCCATTGAAAAAGAACCACTGGCCAAAGTTAATTAGCCTCGTTAGTGAAAGGGACAACTGCAGCTTCAATTCACCAGACATTATTCAATGTCAGGGTTCCCCTGCTGGGGCCCCCTGTTTGGAGTCCAAGGACATTTTGACCTTTTTTTTTTTCTCTTTAAATGCTATTGCACACTTGACTTTAATGTTCACACTACAAAAAACCAGATGACAAATGAATTGTGTTTTACCCATTTCATAGTGAATGTAATCATTAAAATAATCAGCTTCAACTAAGAGTGAATAAAACTGCACAAGGTATAAGGTGAAAGTGAATATTAACTAAAAATTAAGAATTAAGTTTTCTTGGTAAAATTTATTATGCCATATACCTGTCACATCCTCTTGAAAAACTGGATATGGGAGAAATTGTGACCACAAAAGAAAAATATTTAATAAAAGGAGAATTAAAATCTGATTTGGGCAAAAATAATAAAGGGGAATAAAAAAATGGTTATAGAATACTGACCAAGGAATTAAATTCGGTTAATGGGCTTAATGCTGAAATAACTTTTAACAAAATTTGACCACGTTTGTTAAAATTCTGGCTAAAACATAAGCGAAGAGTCTAAACAAATGCTGGTTCAAAATGTGAGTATCAAGAAAGCAGAGTCAAATATCAAAGGAGTTGTTTGCTTCTCACCCTTCTTAAATGACACAGCAATTGGGATGGTCCTAAAGTGCATGTTCATCTGTCTTCAGTGTGTGATAGTGGCACGTGAACTTGAAGTTGGCACTAACTTTATATATCAGCTGAACTAATATCCTAGATAAATACGTAAAACAGACAAATGGCGATTTGAGTCAGTGGAGAGAAGCTGCTGTCTCAAGAAGACTAATCTCATTCATTCGCTCAGCAAATACTTCCTGAGCACCTGCATACATGCAAAATTAGATATGATTTTGCCCTTGGGGAACTCCAGGCTAATCTAATAATCAAATACCCATGCAAATAGAGTATTACAAACCACGATATCTGCTACCAGGAAGTAAAGGATTCAAGAGTTAAGGCTTCCCGGAGGAAGTGATGCCTGAACTGTCAGAATTCCTGCTTCTTTAACTTAACAGTGTTGATATTTTTGAGTGTCACACAAAGATAACATCTGATTTTAAGGAATTTGAATTATTTTGGATACAGTGAAATTCTTAAGAAGATGTAATGAAGCTGTGGTGTATTTCAACACGAATCATAATTGCCTTTCCTAACAAGCAACAGTAAGCCATGATGGTTAGCATTACTGATTTTGGAATCAGAGTGCCTGGTTTTAAATCCTAGTTCTGACACTTCTTAGTTAATGACTCAGTTTCCCCATCTGTAAGAGGGAATAATGATAGTATCTGCTTGCAGGGTTAATTCAATCAGCTAATGTGTGTTCAATATTTAGAACAATACCTATTACATAGTAAGTATTATGTGAATGTTGGTACTAGTAGAAGGTATTGCCCAGGTTGTATCAGCTCATAGTAGTACATTTAGTAGACAGACCATTGTGATTTTTACCTCAACTACAAAAATTCTAGTACCTTTCTACTTCAGATAAAGATACATTTGATTAAGAGTAAGTAGAGCATAAATCCAGAAGCATGAAAAGAAGTAGGTATAGAGAGCCAGGTTACTTGCAGGAGCTATGGGGCAACTTTGAACAGGGGTGGGATTGAGCATGAAAGAGTAGATTCTATACATAGGAGTGGGTGGCATAGAGGTCAAGCACTCCTGAGGCCATGGATGGACTGAGGTGGGAACCATTGACTCAGTAGAGGTGAGGCTGCTCCCTAGACCATTGGCTTACTCTGCATATTCCTTTTATTTTTGCTGTCTCATCAACAACTGCTTTGAATCATAAGATATAACCTACAGCCATGTGATGTAGTATTGGGTTGTCTGAAAAGTCATGACATATTTTGTCTATGTTTTTCAAAGGCCATTTATTTATATAAAGAACAAAAGTCAATCAATGATCTATTGCCCGTTTCTTTTCGGTAATCTTTTGCCATCTTTCAGTGAGCTTTGTAATTCCTCGTTCACAGAAGGACCTGTTTTTATTTGTGAAAAACTGAACAAGGTGCTGAGTTACACCCTCATTTGAATTGAACGTTATACCACGCAAGGAGTTTTGAAGAGAGCGAAACAAGTGGAAGTCTGACGGAGCAGGGTCAGGCGAGTGTGGTGGGTGTGGCAACACATACCATCCAAGCTCCAGTAATTTTTGATGGGTGATCAAACTTGTGTGTGGTCTCGCGTTGTCACAGTGGAACACAACTCCTTTACAATTAACAAGCTCTGGACGTTTCTGGATGATGGATTTGTTCAAACTGTCCACATTCGAATTGATTGTTTGGTTCCTTGGTAGGAGCTCGAAAAACAATATCTTTATAATCCCACCACACTGAGAGCATAACCTTCCTCTGATGAATGTCTGCTTTCGATGTCGTTTGAGGCAAATCATCACATCAGGACCAAGACCATTTGTGCACCACATTGTTGTAAAGAATCCACTTCTCATCACCAGTTTTCAGTCACTTTAAAAAAGGATAGTTTTCCTCACGTTTAATGAGTATATTGCAGATGCTTATACGCGCCATCAAATGAACTTTGAGTTCATGCGGAACTCAAATATCGAGCTTGCTTACGTATCCCAGCTTCTTCAGGTGGTTGTGAATGCTTGAATGATGGAGGTTCAATGTTTCTGCAATCTCTCGTGTCATGTAACGTGGGTTTGACTAGATCAATGCCTTTATTTTGTCTTCATCAACGTTGGTGGGCCTCCCTGACCGAGGAGCTTCATTGAGATCAAAATCACCAGCACGGAATTTCGTGAACCATCGTTGGCACTGACATTCTTGTAGAGTATTGTCACCGTAAACTTTATGCAACTTTTCACAAGCTTGACATGCGTTCTTTATGGAAGTAAAACAGTAAAATATGGCAAAAATGCACAGTTTGGTCTTCCATCTTCAACTTGTAAAATCTCCAAAACTCAACCAAATTGCTTTTTTTTGAATGAAGCTCGAACTGTCAGCTGTCAAATGACATAGCAATAACATAGATGCGAATGACTCTAGTACTTCCAAAAATGAACTAGTGCCATTTGTTGCAAACATGCATCATGACTTTTCGACAACCCAATAGAATTTGAGGTAGTATCATTACCATTCTCTCTCTCTCTGTGTCTCTCACATGTGCACACGTGTGTGCATGCACACAGAGTTTCAGATTTATATTAACTGTTTATATTTCTAGAAAAAGTATAAAGGTGAAGCAGAGAAAATGCTTTCTAACTATTCTACTGTGGCAGATACTCCCGAAATTCAGAGAATTAAGGAAATTCAACAAAACATTAGTGCGGTAAGTAGCCATTATTTCTTTTTCAGGTGCCTCCTCGAAATTTTATTTTGTAAGGAGGGACTTTTCCCCTCATCATCTGATTTTTTGTTGCATTGCTTGAATTTCCTATCACATGTGTTATCTTTATTTCTTTAATAAGAATACCAGATGTTCTTATAAATTACAGTATAATTTATTGTGATTATTTTAGAATTACAAATTTAGATTTTCTTCTTTGGTACAAGCTACAGTTATTTTTAACTGAATTTTCAAATTTCACCCAGGAAAGAGGGCTTAATGTTCCACACAGATTTTACCTTTAGGATGCAAATAGCCATATCAAGTGATTTCTGTTCTAGTCATTGATTATTTGCACTGATAATATATCTAGGAATTTACTCATTTGTAACCGATTCCTAAACTTTCACATATTTTTTTGAGGACAGGAATTATATCAGTACTGTTAATTAAGAGATTGGGTCTATGTTTAATGGATATATGAACTTGAATTCTAAAATTATAAAAATTGACCACAGACCCAGTATGTTACTGTAGAAGTAGCTTATTTAGTAGTTAAGCAAATGTCTCATCAAAATGTAGATTCTGTTAAGTCTGAGGACTTCTGGGATGTTTTCTACTTTCTAACAAATTGGCAAACGTTAACCCTCAGATACATTGGGCAGGTACCTCTAGGTCTTCCTAGTCAGGCTGTGTTAAGAAATGGAGTCTAGTGGAAGATAGGGTCAGAGGAAAAGGTTGTCTTGGCCCTTATCTTCTGTGATTCCATTGCATTCCAGATTTCTACCTTTTGTAAGAAAGATCTCTTACGTTATACTCTCCCAACCCCGAGTAGGGCTTACTGGATTATCGCGTATTAAGAGAGGGAGTAGTTCTGTCCTCATGACTGTCTTATAATTATTGTATTTTTCCATAGAGCACTTTTGGTTTTTGTTTTGCTTCATGTTGGAAAGGGGTGGATGTTGGTGGAGGCAGAGAGATGTGGGAAGCTTAATGAATAAGTGGGAGATGAGGAAATCAGACTGAATTACGTTGAATTATCCTTCTAAAAGCAAACGTATATTCGATGAATGTTTTTCCTTCTTTACAAAACTGGCTGCGATTTTCTTTTATTCATCACTTTGTTAACATGCTATTTCATCAGATCTCAAAGTTCTAACTTTCAGAAGGAAATCTTAGCCTCGTTCCCCTTGAACCTAAAGCAGTATTTCATCTTGATATATCATAGTGCCTAAGAGATCACTTTAATAATACAGTCATGAGGTCTAGGATTAGATTTTATGTTTTTTTTAACAAAATTTTAACTGTGTTAAATTTTTAGAGAAATGGTAATTTCAGTACCTCTCCGCAACTTGAAAGAAAGGCATTTTATCCTGGAAAATAATTAAAGGCCCTAGAACATTTATTTGGTGCTAAAGAGAAGGTTTCAAAGGCCCCATTTGCCTTCCACTTCTTCCAGCTTCCAGCAAAAACAAAACAAAACAAAAACAACAACATACACTTTCACTGTAATTTATAAAGTAACTTACCCTCCAATTCCCTTTGAGCTAGGGGGAAGGGTAGAGGAGGTGCTTAATGTTACGAGTACAAACTTCTCCATTCAGTGCCTGACATTTATAATTGATAATTGCTATCCTTACCCAGTAGGTATTCTTCCATGTATATTTAGTATGTGCAGTTTCTTCTTGAGGAAGTCAAAGGGTTCTTTCCTTACATCCCTTTCTTAACTTTTCTGTTCGCCTTCACCCTTGGAGGCAGAGCCTTTCTTTAAGTAATCCAAGTAGAACTGGCTGATTCAACTCCTCTGTTAGGAAGTCTGGTAGTGACATGGCATCCTGGACTATTAGCGTGCCCTGCCATTTGTGGATAAAGAGTAGGAAAGGCAAGGGAATGCTGTAGTAAAACATGCCCTGCCATTTGTGGATAAAGAGTAGGAAAGGCAAGGGAATGCTGTAGTAAAACATGCTTCAGAATGAACTGATAAAACATCTACAGAATGCTAGTGCAATAAAATCTCTGTAGCATGAATGAAGCTATCTCCTGCAGAAAGCAGAAGGGGAGCCGTCTAACGATGAGGATTTAAAAATGTGTTCTGATCCACCATGGAAAGAGACTGTCGCAGGCAACACTCAGGTCGGGGAGAAACATGAGTTCGGCAGAGAAGTGTAAAATGTTTGTTTCCTTCCCTTTCAAATGATAACATTTGAAATGTACCCATCAATGTACTAGAGCATAATGTTATAAATGTTCTGTAGCGTGCAATTCTATTGCCTACAGTGAAATGACTGTGCCATTTTGATTAGTTTAGAGTCGTGTGGGAAACAAAAATGCTCATCTTTAATCATGTTTAACTTCTCACCCGAGGAAAATCACACAGAGTGGGACAGTATATCATTTCTTCTTCCAGCTTCCCGCTGCCTCCTCTGGCAAACAATAAATGCATAGTTCTGTATCTCTATGAGGCTGGGCCATCAACTCCTGCTTAGTATTCGAATAGAAAGTTGCCCTTTCAAGATTAGCTCAATCTGTCAAACCAAGATATGATTCTCTAACATTTAAAGATCTCGACATTTTCCACCTCCAAAGTACAAGCCTTTTAACTATTAGCTTTCTCTAAGAACTATTTTTGAATCTTATTTAGCGGTAGCCTGTCTCGGTGTACTCTCAATTTAACTCTTTTGGATCTGGACTCATAGCAGCATTATTACTCATATTAAATCCACAGCTACTAAGATGTAGATGATATCTGAGATATTTAGGAACCACTTTTTTTTGACTGTCCACATTGATTTCAGCTTTAATCATTTAAAACATGATCAAGTCATTTCTAAAATAGGTTTTGTCTAGATTTAAGTCTTCGTTAAATTTCAATGTGTGCCCCTTAAATCTAGCCTATATTTTTGTACATATAGATACATATGTGTGTCTTTTTTCTTGAATCCAATCTTCCAATCTTTGCTTCAATTTTAGACATTAAATCACCACCTGATGTGAAGGCATCACTAACTATTTCATAAGTTATACGTGGATTCTAAGGAACTGAATGGATGGGAGAAGTGGATGGAGATAGTCTCAGAGACACAGAGGAAGAACTGAGGGTTGTTAGTTGGGA